TGCTGGCTGTCACAATCACTGTGCCATGGCTGGCATCTCCGCGTGGCACCGCGTGCCCGGTGGCACCGGCACTGCCTGGGTTTGTAGCTCCTGCTCCCAGCCATGGTCCCCAGGGACAGTCACCACCTTTTGCTCACTCCTTTCCCATTCTTTGGTGTTCCCAGGTTGGGGGCAATGAGGGAAGAGGGGCCTGGCAGTGCCATCACGGCCATGCTGGCACAGCAGGTGATGAGCATTGTAGTGCCAGGATCAAAGAGCCTCTGAGATGGAGCCCATGGTGTTTTGCTGGTGTTGGCTGAGCCCTTTCCAACCCCTCCCCATGACCAAGCAGGTGACTTCACTGAGGGCTTTGGGGCAGGTTTGGGGGCTCAGTGTGAGGGCAGGTGGTGGGGATGGTGCTGAGCTCCATGGACATGGTGCTGGCCCAAGAAGCCCCGTGCGTGTCCACAAGTGCTGCAGCCCCAGCACCAGTGATTTACCTTCCTGAAACACCTCAATTTAAATGCTAATCCTCCCTGAGCCCCGGGGGTTAAGGCAGCTCTTGAATATTGTTGGGCTGTTTATTGCTGGCACTGAAGTGGGGCATGTTGGGGAAGTGGTGGGGAGGGATGAGCAGTGCAGGGACAGGTCTTATCCTCATCACCTGAGCCACTGGAGGGATGAGGACCATGGCTGCAGCCACACTGGGGGATTTTGGGGACACTGGCACCTGCAGGTTGATGCTCTCCTCTCTCCCCACGACCCAATCCAGCCATGCATTGGTGCAAACTGTGGTTTGGGCTGAAAGCTGGGGAGCTGAGAGGTCTCCAGGACCTGGCAAAACCTGACCCGTCACTTCTTTTTTAAATCCTGCCTCGTTATACTGGAGTGGGGCTTTGCTAAAATTAATGACCAGTAAATTTGGAGTAAGTAACTGCTGCTTCAGAGGGTTTGCATTAAGCCTTTATAATTCACTGATGCCTGAGGTCATGGAGACACATGGGGGGAGATTTACAGCCTGCTTACCTTCTCCTGAGTGGCTGCGGAAACAGGACACCCTCTTTTCTGTCTCTCTGTGACTCTAGATCAAATTTTTCTTGTAGCAAGCTACAAAGAAGCTATTTCCGAGTGTCCCTGTGTCCAATGTAAGCTGGGCTCTTGTAAGGTTGCAGCCACCACAGCAGGAAAGCTCCTCTGGGGAAAAGTTGGGTCAAAAGCTGGCCCTAAATAACCTCAAAATCATCTTATTCTCCCCAAGCCTTTGCAGGACAGAAAGAAGAAAGACTAATAAATTATTTTTGCCAGAGGAGGCTTCTTCTCAGAAGGCACAGTCCTCACATAGTCACTTTGCTGAACATGAGCACACTGGATGACAATGTGATTAACATTTGTAGCTGTGCTGGCTCAGATAAGGGTAATTAAATCTCACGCTTGAGGGCATCAGCTAATCATTTGCAGGGTCATTTTATATTTCACTTTTTTTTTTATCCCTTCATAAATATATTTGCCCAGTTGCTGTGATACAGGTCATAGATCCACTGGTGGTGGCTGATGGAGGCAGGAATCCCCACACCAGCTGATGCTTGGATTTGCAGTGGGAGTCACATGAGAACGAGGAGGGTTTGTGAGAGGGTCAATGGGAGAGTCCAACATGGAGGCTGTGACCTTCAGGAGTGAAGTGCAAAGGGAGTTGACTGAGGCAAGGAGGAAAAGCTGCTCCTTCACCCTACGGTGTTGCTAACAGGATAATGAAATGAATGTGGGTCACCAGCTGATCGTTCCCTACCATGGGCCAAACTCCCACTGCCAGCTTGGCCCTGGCTTTCACCCCCCAGGCTGAGCAGAATCATGCTGTGGATCAGGACCCACCAGCATGGAGTCATCCAGAAGGATGACAGCACTTCTGCTCCCCAGCACCAGGCTCTCCTGCTCCCCTATGCTCAGGGATGCTGTGGGATGCTGATCTTTCCTGGACACTTCCATCAGCTGCAGGAGGTGCCAGCAGTGCTGCACTGGGCTACGGATGTATCGTGTGACCTTGGGTGTTTTATTTAAGGTCAGATTCCCTGAAAGCATCTCTAGTTTGTGTACCAAGTTTCAGAGGACAGGAGGACACTGGTACAGTGGGCTCTCACTGCCTCAGCCCTCCTCCTGGTACCTGAGCAGCTGCTAATTGCCTTTACCCTCCCAGCACCCTGGGCAGAGGGAGCTGCTGTCTGTGTCTGTCACCCGAGGCAGTGAGTGGATTTTATGACTTGACCAAGGTTACATGACATGTCCATCAAAGCCAGAATTCTGAATTTGGTTTAATCCAGACACCTGCCTTCCTCCTCAGCCCACCTTGCCAGTACAAAAGCTCAGTGAAGCCTTTGGCCATTTGACCTTTCCCTGCATCAAGAGTCATTTATCTGGAAACCAGCTCCCTCCCATGGCAGAGGCATACTGCAGGTTGGATGCTGCTGGGGACTGGGACTGCTGTGAAGGAAACAGAGCAGCCTGCAAAATGCCTCAAGAGACAAGCACCTCCCTGCCAGGGGAGTGTTGCAAGGCAGTGAGTGGCTTGTCCATCGTGCTGGAGACTCTGAGAGTACTGAACATCTGCTCCACCAGCACAGGGGAGATGCTGGGGGGCAGAGAAAGAGCCAGAGTAGGATGCTGCAGGGCTAACAGGTGCTGAAAGCAGGCAGGTTTCCTGGGCTTTCTCCTGAACCCATTGGAATAAACCTGGCTCAACAACTGGTAGGAGCTGAGGTTATGAAGGTGTGGCTGTGGCCCTTGGGAATGGCAGGGACCCCGAGGTGTGAGCCCTGCGTGTGGTTCTACACCCGCGCAGAGGTGCTGGCGGCTTGGCCGTGCCCAGGGATGCTGTCACATCCCTCCCCTCGCCTGCAGCCCTGCTTCTTGCACAGAGCCCGGTGGTTTTGAGCGGAGCTTCCAGCGAGCACAAAAAGCCCGGCAGGAGCTCTGTTTTGGTGTGTGTGCCTGTCCGGTGAGCAGCACCACGAGCCCAGGGCTGTTGGGAAGGTGCAGCGGCCAAGGAGCTACAGCCCTCTGCCGGCTGCGGCTCTTGCCCGCCCGCCCCACAAAAGCTCATCCCTGGGTTTGGGTGTCAGGGAGGAGGGGGCTGGAGTTGGGGAGGGAGGAGATGCCGGGAGGGTTTGCAAGGAAAATCACAGCACTGAAGTGCTCCTGAAGTCCTGCCTTGTACTGCTGCTCCCTGCTGTCCCTGGAGCACGGGCTGAGCACATGCACACCCACGCCTCGACTTGCTCTTGCCCCTTGTTTTTCCGTGACCTTTCCACTGGCAGGCAGTTAGAACAAACAGCGTTACAGCAAGTGGCACCCAGAGCATGGCTGCTCAGTAAATACCTTCTCAGAGAGGTGTCAGCTCTGAGCAGCAGCCGCTGCATGTGCTGCACTGGTCTGCATCTCCTCCAGCTTCTACCTCCATAGCTGCCAACGCCTGGACCACCACCCCCCCCTGGGGGCTGTCCTGGCACCTGGGTGAGCTGGGCTTATGCCTAGGGACAGCTGATCCCCAGACTCTTGGCATGGGAAGGTGTTGGTGATATGGTCCAGGTGGGTTTGCATGGGAGGAGAATGAGGGGCTGCTGCATCTTCCTTGCCCTGTTCTCGAGTGCAGGGTTAATGCTGGCATCTGCTGAGCCACATGTTTTTGTCCCTCATGGCTGAGCTCTCCTGGCTCTGCCAGGGCTGTCCCCTCGTGCAAGGAGGTGGGAGGGTGCTTGGGCAGGTGCCACCAACCAGTGCCATTGTCCTCCTGGACATCTCCTCCTGATCTTCTCAGAGGTGGGTGGCAGGGCTGGGCAGGCTTCTGGCATGACACTCGTGGCCCTTGTGCTCACCCTTGGGTGCCAGGCGTGGGACTGATGCCTCAGAAAGGGGCTGGTTCCCGTGCTCCAGGGTGGCTGACTGGCTTAGTGCAGCTGCATCCCACTTCCCAGGTGTGGCATCACGCTTCGCCAGGGGTTTGGGATTTGGTAACACTGACGCTGGTTGGGGAAGCAAAAACCAGGGAAGAAGGGTAAACCCAGCAGCTGTTTAAAGGAAAATCTATTCATAAAAATGCAGCTGGGGCAGGTGGTGCCAGCCTGAGCCTGCACCCAGCTCCCGGGGCTGACCTGATTTTGCAGGAACCTCCCTTTTTTCTCCTCAGCTGCCTTTTTGTCTTGGCACCCGGAGGACACAGAGCCTCCCAGCCTGCGTTTCAGCTCTAAGATCAATATTTAAAATCCCCCTCTGTTATTTCCTTTGTGCAGGCATGAGCCATTTCACTTGCTGGGGGAGGCTTGTCTCCCGGAGACCTGTCTGTTCACCATTTCAAATAGTTTCCTCTGTATCGTTGTTCTAGAAACAATTCATTAGGGGCCTATTATACAATGTTATACCTGCCAAGGTTAGCAAAGATCCTGTGTGTGTGGTAAAATTGCACTGTGAGCTGCACGTGCTGGCTTTTTCTTTTTTTTGTGTGTGTCTGTCTATAAATGTACCTTTTCTTCCTTTTGGAGAGTCAGTCATCCAGGGGCAAATCTGTGGGAGCAATGATGCTGCTTGGGATGGGGGCCCCAGTGGGGCCTGGGCTGATGTTTGGTCACAGTCCTGTGCTGGAATATGCTGCAGGCAGTGGAAAGGGGCAGCTTTGGGGTGCAGCAGTGCTTTGTCTCTCCTCCCCCCTGTCTGTCCCCTCCCCCCCAGTGGCACACTTGAAAATCTGGGCCAAAACCAGTGGCCAGGTCCCCAGGCTGAGGGTGATCCCACTCTGCTGGAGAGCTAATAAAGCTGTGGTCCCTGTGGAGCTCATTAAGTGTTGTCTGGGAGGGCTGTGCAGCCAGGGGCAGCTGGTGGAGGGGGCTGCAGACTCTGTCTCCTGTTAGGTCTCCTGCTTGCAGATGTTCCTCACCTCTCTGAGCCATCTGTCCTATTGCCACTGGGGCAGCTCAACACCCCTGCCTGCCTGTGGCCTGCATCGTTGCTTTGCAGTTGTCTTTTTCTCTTTGCAGGGAGAATAACTTCATTAAGGACTTCCCCCAGCTGGCTGACGGCCTCCTGGTGATCCCACTGCCTGTGGAGGAGCAGTGCCGTGGTGTCCTCTCAGAGCCCCTTCCTGACCTCCAGCTTCTCACAGGTATGAGCTGCCCCCCTGGGATCAGCGCCCGCTGGGGACGAGCACAGGAGCAAATGCCCCTTCTCCCACCCTGGATCCCAGCGTGGACTCTGAGAGCCATCAGCACCCCTGGCATCTTGGGGTCCTTCACAGCATCCCTCCTGTGTACTTGGGGCAGAAACAGTAGATGTGCTGTGTGAGAGCACCCTGGCCCCACAAGGCAGCATCTCCATCCCCGCAGGCTCCCAGCAGCCACAGCCATCACCGCCCTGGTCCTGCCAGCAGCCTGGGGACCCCACAGCGTGGCCACTGGAGGAGGCTGCCATCCCTGCCACCACCCCATCTCTTGTCCCTGTGGCACGTAGCAAAGCAAGTGCTCGACATGAGCATCAGCGTTCCCCGGAGGGGCAGGGGCTGAGCACTGGCTCTTCTGTTGCAGGAGACATCAAGTATGACGAGGCCATGGGTTACCCCATGGTGCAGCACTGGCGGGTCAGGAGCAACCTGTACAGGGTGAAGCTCAGCTCCATCACCCTTTCTGCAGGTGAGGGTTCTGGCAGTTGGGAGTCCTGTGTCTGGGTGGGTGGGAGGGTGGTGGGCCTCTGCCCCCAGACATAGTCATGCCAAGCAGCTCACCAGCATTTCCCACCTCTAGGCTCTGCTCAGGCACTAACTCACACTCCCAGCACTGTGGCAGAGGCAGGAAGAGAGAGGCAGGGAAACTGAGGCAGAGAGTCTGTGAGGCTCAGTCATCCAAGCCAAGATGTGGGGGCAGAGGCAGGATCGAGCTAATAAGCAACAGTGTGGGGAGGATTTGTGTGGGGATGGCTGTGAATTCCTGGGTGTATGAAAAACAGCAAGTTGTTGAAAAAATGTGGCTTCAAAAAGACCAAAAGCACTTGTAAATGCAGGTCATATAAAGCAGGGAGTTGCAGATGAAGAAGGGGCGGGTTGGAGGATCCTGCAAACGTCAAAACATTTCATTGCCACATGTTTATAGCTACACATTTTATTTCTGAGATGCTGCAACATTTTGTTGCCACCTGAAATGTTTTACCTTTTCATTTCAAAACAGCGTTTTTTTTATTTAAAAAATCAACCTGTTTTTAAATAGAGAAAGGGAAAAAAAAAAAAAAAAAAAAAAAAGGAAACAAAGATGTAGTGCAGACAGGCTGCACAGCCCCAGGATGAAATGACCTGCTTGGAGCTGAACAAAATATTTGGGTTCAGCTCAAAATGAATTCTACCAGCATTTTCATTAAACCGACCTTCTTCTTCAATCAACCAACCAACCAACCAGCCAGATAACCTAATTTTGGTGACAGTTATGATGCGTTTTCTTGCAGTATGTTTTCAGTTCCATCACTGAAGCAAAACAATGATATTAGCCAGCTCTGAAGGGTGCCAAGGCATCGTGTAGTCACCAGTGGTTCCAAAGTATTTCATCTCTCCAGAGCAGAGAGGGTCTGCATCCTTGTCCCATGCCAGCAGCCACCACTGTCTGCACAAGAGCTGCCCCAAGCCCTGCACACCCACAGAGCTGCTGTCAGTCCAGCCCTGTGTGTCACTCCAGGCTCTCTCTGGCTTTCTGGTCTGCAGTGACATCCATAATAAATTAATCCCTTCACCAGGAGAATGTCTCTGGGGATGTGTATTGCCAAGGAAAGGCCAAGCACTTTGTCTGGGATGAGGGCTGATGAGGTATCAGCAGCCTGCACAATGACCAGAGCTGGTGACAGGGTGTTGGTGTGTGCACACATGTTCACAGGCACATTCCTTTAAAATTATTGGAGAAATCTCTTAGGGGGAGGAATCCTAGAAGAATGCCAGAGCCACAGCCCAGGGCACGTGGCAGGTTGTGAATTCCAATGGGTCATGTAGACCATGCAGGCAAGAGAGGAGGAAATGTGCTTTACATCCAGGTGGGACTTTTATGTCTTCAGCAGGGGATCATCTGGGGCTCCTTCCCCCGGGCTGTGGTTGGCAGCCCTGCCTGGCCATCCTGCCATCCTCTACCTCCCTTCCACAGGCTTTGCAAACATCCTGAAGATCCTGAACAAGGACAGCAGCAGGGAGGAGCTGCTCTCTTTCATCCAGCAGTTTGGCTCCCACTACATCGCAGAGGCACTGTATGGCTCTGAGTTCAGCTGCACCATCCACTTCCCCAGCAAGAAGGTCCAGCAGCAGCTCTGGCTCCAGTACCAAAAAGGTGAGCAGGGTAGCAGATCTGGGTGGTGGTATTAATCCATGCTGTTTTCCATCCATCACCCTCTTTTCCTCATGCATACACCATCACCTCACTGGTTAATGGGCCCAGATGTGAGACCCAGACCAGTACCAACCTGAATGTCTGGCAGCAGGAAATAGTGGCATGTGTTCATGGGCAGCATCCCTGAGCCAGGTGGACCCATCCTGCCTGCTTCTGCCTACTCCTGCCTGTCAGTAGATGCACTCCAGCTCCATCCTTCCCCGAGGTGACCCTCCTTGCCACCTGCCCCCAGCTCCATTGTGGTGGTCCCCACACATTGGTGGTGCTCTGAGTCAGGTGATGGGAGATGTGACATAACTGAGCTGTTTCAGAATGGCTCCGTTTTATTGCTTGTGACAATGATGGTCTTTAAGGAAGTGTATTAAATCAATAGCAGACTCATTGTGCTACACCATAAATAACGAGACACATCATTAAACCGGGCAATAAACTTGAGGACTTTGAAGTAATACAATTAGGTTATGTTTATAAAAACTCCCTTATCACTGTAGCCTTCCATTTGCCAATTCATCTCTCTCCTCCAGAGAGCTGGGAATATTCCTGAGGTCTAATATTTTTCTGTTGAAAAACATCTGTGAAGTTTCATAGGACCTGTTGTAGGGCTGATTATAATGGAGGTGGGTAAAGGCATTGGTGTCCTGCCCCTTGGGTGCTTCCAAGAGCAGCCTTGTTTTGTTGAGCCAGCAGACAGAGGTCTGCTCCCACCCACTGTCTCTGTCGCTTTCTGATCTGTTCTTTTTTTGTGTCTTCCTAGCACAGCTTGTCTTGTAAGTATATTTATAACCCCCTATGCTCGTTTGTTTTGGTTTTAAATAGTGATAAATGAAGTTTGCCATGGCAGTGCCCCTGTTTAGCAGGAGAAAGAGTGCTGGAGGTGTGTTGTTTACCAACTTGCATTGCTATTAATCATCAACCAGGCTTGCTCCCTGCAATCCCCGGGCACACGTGTCAGTGGGGAGCAGATCTGGAGTGGCTCCGTGGCCCCAGAACCATCACCTCAGTCCCAGGTTTTCTCTGAAGATCCTGGATGGGAACAAGAGGTGAATGCTGCAGTCTGAGCCCAGCACAGCTGGCACTGCTGTTTCACAGTGCTGTGGCCAGAGGGGAGATGAATGGTGGCAACACTTGACCCAGTGGTGAAATCTATTTCTGATCCCCTACTTCTCCCCAGCTGGGGCAGTGGTGGTTCCCAGGGCTCAACCATAAAGCCCCATGGTGGCACAGGGCCTGAAGGTGAGCAGTGCTTTGCTGACTAAATAATTTCCTTTTTAGTCCATGGAATGCAGCCAGTCAAGGCAGGCTCCTCATTCCCCACCAGCTCCTGCCTGCACCCATGGAGCTGTGCTGGAGCTGTGCCTGCCACGTGCTCCTTGTAGGGCTGTCCCAGTGAATGGGGAGCATCCAGGGCATCCTTCCCCCTACCTGCCAAGCACTAGAGCCCTCTTGGGACCCCAGGGTCCCCTGGGGGTTTAGTGTTTAACACTTGGGGATAAGCATTGAACTTCTGATCAGGCAGCATTTCATGCATAGGGTGCTGGCTCCGACCTTGTTCTCCATGCGTGGCTCCATCTGTGGCTTTGGTAGCTAGTGGGGTGGGTGAGGCTGAACTTCAGGGCTATGGGTGGCACAAGGGGGACAAGTGTTGTACTTAGCTCTTTGATGGCCAGAAAATGTTCTTGGAAGGATATGGAGGATGTTCAGGGCTCTTGCTGATACAGGGAGAAATAGACTCTGCGGGTAGAGATGGTGTTACAGAAAATGCAGGGCTCTCTCCTGGACAAACCTCAGTGAGCCAAGAGTTTGCTCTTTATGGTAGACAGATATTATTCCCAGCCCCTCTACTAATTTACCATCATTTTGCCAGTGCCATAAGGAGGATTAGAATGAATAGGTCCAGCCAGACAGTTCTGGATGCAGTCTCCACTCAGAAACAGCTCTGGCCCGCCAGGCTCCCTGCTGCTAGCCAGCCCCTTTCCAAACTGCTCAGCAACTGCACATAAGCATCATCCCTAATATATACAAAAGTGAGGCCAGGATAACTCTAATTTGTTAGTGAACAAAGCAGGTCAGAAAAGGAGGGGGAGAGGCAAGTCTGAGCTAATTGGAACGGCCCCAAATACGATACAAACGCACATTGCGGCGTCTGCAGCATCACACCAAATTATGGTAATATTTTAATCAACTTCATCAATCACTCGGCAGCCCTCAGGAGGAGGCCTCTGTGGGTAAAGCCCAGGATCTGAGCACCCAGCCCTAAATGAAAACATCATCTTGAGGAGGAGCCCGCGCTGCTGGAGCCGAGGGCTGGAGCAGCCGGAATTCCGCGCTCGCTGCCGGCACACGGGCCCGTGACGTGGGTTGGTGTCTGCAGAGCCCTTCCTGCAGCCAAGGAGAAAGTGATCTGGCTGTCATCAGGGACAGAAGAAAGTTGGTGCTTCCTTGCTGCCTGGAGCCAGCGCCCTGCTGGATGTTTGCAGGCTGCTCTGCCTGTAGACGTGCAAAATGTTCCCCTTGTGCCAGCAGGTAGATCAGGTGTGTGCTGGGTGGAGGTGAGGGAGCTGCCCATCCTTGTTGCTATGGATTTGCAGGAGTTAATCCTGCAAATGAGAGAGCCAGAAAGGCACTGCTGTGTCACACCAAGCACCGTGCTCCTTCCAGGGCAGACATGGAAACATCCCCCAGGCTCCTCTCTAGGAACAGTGAGCAAACCAAACCAAACTTGAATTTTATTTCATGCAGAGTGATTAAAAGCCCATGTTTTGGGCTGCTTGCTTCAGCTCTGTGCAGCCAAGCAAAGCTTTAACTCATTGGAGTGACCTCTGAGCAGGGACCTTGAGATTGACCAGGGCACTGATCTGTGCCACAGGAGCCCACATCATTTTTCTCCCCATCAAAGCCAGCATTTAATGCTGAGAGCACCTCATTAAGTTTGTGCCTCTTGTATGAGCATCTTCGTTTGGCAGCTGGGCAAACTTGAGACCCCCAGCCACCTCCTGTTGCATGTAAGAATGTGCTGGGTCTGGTCAGGGTGGAGTGAATGGGATTCATGGTGCTGCACTTCGGATTTGTAGCTAAACCTGTGTGGCTGACACCCCAGTGTGGTGGCTGCTGCTGAGTGGTGCTTGCCTAGCCTCTGGCATTCCTCTTCTTCCCACTCTGTCCCCACAGTGAGTAGGCTGGGGTGGGCAAGATATTGGAAGGGGACACAGCCAGGACTGCTGACCCCAGCTGGGCTCTTCCACACCATATAATGTGATAAAATGTGAGGTAGGAGCTGGGGGTTAACCCACCACAAAGAGACTCACAAAATGTCCAGGAAGAAAGAGTGATCCCTCCATCCCACAGATCCACCTGCCAGGGACCACATCTGTCCCTACTAAAAAGTTTCTTGGAGATCTTTTTGCCTTGTGGCCCCACTGTCTGGCTGGAAGAGGAGGAGAGCTTGGCTAGGAAAAGGGAAGAGCTGTTCTGATAGTGAAGTCTGACAGCTCCAGTGGGATTTCCCTCCTCCCTTTTCTAGCCTGCTTGCTCCCACAGCGATACACTACATGCAGAACAAATGTGTGTGAGTGCTCCAGCACTTAGAGAAAAGGCAGACGTTATCAGCAGCAATGCAGAGGGTCTCGTCTTGTCAAGCATCTGAGTGACAACTTTCTCCCCTCACACAGTGCAGACTGATCTGAGCATCACCATGGGAGACTTCTGTTCTCCAGCTGGGAAAAGCTGGAAAAAGAAACGGTGTGTGGGTAGGGAGTTGCCCCCAAGGAGCACATGGGCTTGTGGGAGCTCCTCTGTCTCACCACTGAGGACCTGAGGGAGTGGGAAGGGTCCTGACGTCCAAGGGTGGAGAAGATGCAGGGGTTTTACTACCCAGCTGTTAGGTTGCTGTAGTGCTTTATGTCTGCAGTGAGTGAAAAGCTTTTTTCTCTCATATCCTGTGGTCCCTAGATAGAGTTTCCTTGGCTGAGGTTACTGGTCACACTGGGCACTTGGCAAACTGAGCTTTGACAGTGGCTGCTACAGATGTGGCAGATGCTCCCTCTCTTCAGGGTAGCTTCTCTTCAGGGAGAAGCTGCTGCCCAAGCGTCCACACACCATTTGGGGGGTCACAAACACCACCCAAAACTGTAACTGCAAGGACCAGAGACTCATGCTGAGTAACACTAAAGAGGATACTGCCACGTTATGCTGAACCCGTGTCCTAATGCTAAATTATTTACTCTAGGTGCTTAATTCTAAAACTTAGTTATTTAAGCAAAATATCTAGTATTTCTTAACATAGTAACAGATCATTTAGTAGAACAAGCCGTGGAGGGGCTGTGCCCTGACAGATCCTACCCCACTCCCTAAGGCTTTCTGCCCACCAGCCTCTCCTGTACCTGCTTCTCTTCTCTTGCACTATATGTCACCCGTTATATTTACCTTTGAGAGGTTACAGTTTTCATGCTTTCTTGTTAACATGGCAGTTTAGACCAAGATCTTCATAAAACAGAAGGCACTTTGAGCATACAGCTCCGAACTCTGCTAAAACATTAGTCCATATTCTTCTGAGCAGGGGCTGTGGATCCCTTCTGTCCTCTCAAGGTTTCATCCAGGCCTGGTGCTGCTGTAACACAATTATGATTGAACGAGTCCACAGGATCCTTTAGTTTTCATTTCATAGTCACAATCAAGTGCATTAAGAAAGCTGTAAGGCAAGCTTTGCATCTCTTAAAGGAGATAATAGCTTTCCCTTATACCTGCTTGGTCAGAAATAAAACATATTGAGTTTCCCTGTCCTTGAGATCTGTTCCTATAAACAACCACTCCGTTACTTTCATCACACTCTTACTGCTTGTTGTTTATGTCATGATATTTATTTCAAAACCTCAGTTTTTGACATTTTGTTCAGAGGAGGAAAAAACAATCTAGCTGGTTGCCGTGAAATTTAGTTTAGACTA